GTTCGATGGAGTTTGGGTCTTCTAGTTCACCGGCGATCGGGGCTCAGAACTAGGAAGTGGCGCTGCAATGCAAAAGTGATGTAGAGAGCTTGTCGTCGACTCCGTTGGGAGTCGAGAGCCAGTGGTTCAGTTAACTGATTGAATTAATCAATTAACTATGTGTGAACCCCTTTCCTGTAGCCGGGCGAGGTTCTTAAATAGAGGAGAGAAGGCGTGGCCGCTCCTTGGATCATGGGATGTGACCATACATTGTTCAGAGATATCCTGCTGTTCATCTGTACCATGAGCGGTCATTCGAGGAGTCGTGTTTGGCATCACGTCAAGTAGGAGCGGGAAAGCCCCTCCTCGTATGTGTGACGACGGTTGTCAGATACTCGAGTGGATCTGACCAACCACCGAGCGCCTCCGTCTCTTGACTCAGACAGCCGAGGTGAGCTGCATTTATGAATGTTCAGGTCGACTTGACACCTGCCCAATCATTCGTACTGTGAGCGGCCGCTTGACGGTCTTGGGGTACTGTGCCCTTTCCCTTGATTTGTGGGATTTGACCACTGATGTAACTGTTCCTATGCTCCTAGTGGGCAGTTGACAGTGAGCTGGCGAGTCTGCAGCTTGGGTCTGCAGGCGAGCTTGGGACTGCAGGCAGACTTGGGTCTGTAGGCGAGCTGAGTCTGCAGGCGAGCTTGGGACCGCAGGCAGACTTGGGTCTTGATCGTGCAGGCGAAATTCGAGCTGCAGGCAAGCTCTTGAGCATGGATCGAAGAATAGGCCGTAACTTTCAAACCCTAAGTCGGAATTAGACGAATTATATATGAAAATCGTCTATCTCGACGAGATGGAGCTATCCGAACCGAGCCAAAGGCTTCGGTTCGCTTCCATCTTTTTTGCCAAATTCCTTACGGTTTGGGAGATATCTGCGTTTTCCCCTTTTTCTGCTATTTCGGGCGATGTTTTAGCAGTTTTGTTCTGAACTTCTCTGATAAGGACTTAAAGGCAATTTTTATTGCCTACAATTGCCTCGCCAATATATTGCTACTATAAACTTTGGCTACATATCTAAAAAATAACTCATCATCATAACACAAAATATGCATACCAACCAAAGGCCAACCAAGAGCTGAAACCAAGGCCGAGAGCAGGTTGAAACCATGCACAAAATTAAAACAAAGGCCAAGCATCAACATGAAACCAAAGAACTGCAACAAGACCAAAGACCAACAATGGCTGGAAACACACTTGGCTGAACGCAAGGCCAAGACTAAGGCTGAAACCAGCATGTAATGCACAAATAGTCAGCACAAAGGAAACCAAACCAAGGCTGAACGCAAGGCCAAGACCAACATTGGCTGGAAACACACTTGGCAAGCACACAACTGATGGGGTAAAACACATTCACAAAGTTCTGCAACAAGACCAACAAGGAACTGTCACATAATCCTGCTGATGGTGTAAAACGCATTGGTATAAAGCTTGCTAAACTGTTACATAGCTGACCAACACATCACAACTGATTCATTGGCTGCACACAACCAAAATATTGCTGAAAATTAAGACAAGTAAGCACAGAACTGAAGTCCAAGGGCCAATACTACAGAGTATCAGCTGGCAAACGCATCCTGGGAACCAAGTATGCACCAACACACTAAGCAACGAAATGTATGCTGGAAATTCAAACAAGTTGGAACAAAACTGGTACCAAAAGAAATTAAGCACACAACGGAAACCACATGCAAGCACACATATGAAACTTGGGGCAAAGCCAACAATTCAAACCAAATGCCAAGCAAACAATTGAAACCAGCCCAATAGCCAACAAAACAAAACATTTGCTGGAAATGAATAAGGCAAGCACTCAACTGTACTCAAACAGTTCAATAGCTGAAATCAAGGCCGAGAGCAAGGCTGAAACCAGCATGCTGAACATTGGTTACAAATTCCCAATTACATAACAACCATTTCAATCAATTTCCCAAGCAACACAACTGAACATTTGCTGCAAATTCAGACTGCTTGCCAACACAACACAACTGAATCACATGGGCCAATATTCAGATAATCAGACTGCTAACCAACAAAACTGAAACCATAAAATGGCACATAACTGAAATCACATGCAAGCACACAACTGAAACCAAGGCTGAAGCAACAACTGGGAAAGCATAGGACTGAAACCAATGGACAAGCAACACTTAGCAAGCACACAACTGAAATCACATGCAAGCACACAACTGAAACCAAGGCTGAAGCAACAACTAGGAAAAGCATAGGACTGAAACCAAAGGACAAGCATCAATTAGCAAGCACACAACTGAAATCACATGAGGTGAAAAGCATAGGACTGAAACCAAAGGACAAGCATCAATTAGCAAGCACACAACTGAAATCACATGAGGTGAAACAACTGAAACCAAGGCTGAAGCATCAAGCAAGCACACAACTGAAATCACATGAGGTGAAACAACTGAAACCAAGGCTGAAGCATCAACTGGGAAAACATAGGACTGAAACTGAAGGACAAGCAACAATTAGCAAGCACACAACTGAAAGTAGACCTTTGCTGGAAATTCAGAAGGCAAGCTCAAACTGAGCATGTATGCATGATTGAGATCTAAAAATGAGAAAGGCTGGAAATGAAGACACGTTGGAACACACCTGAAAGCACTCAAAAAGCACACAACTGAAACCAAGGCTAGAAATTCATAATTGAATATAAGGCCAAGAAACAGATGGAAAGCACACAACTGAAAAAAGACAGTTGCTGGAAATGAATAAGGAATGCACACAACTAATAAATGTGCTCAGAAAAGGCTATTTACTTCATTATCTGCCCCGCCATGAATTTTATAATAGCAATGTTGGCTGCAATATATTGCCTCGCCAATATATTGCTGTTATAAACTTTGGCTGCATATCTGAAAAAAAGCCCATCATCATGACACAAAATATGCATACCTCATTAACTTTAATTCAACGAGGTGAAACCATTCACCTTTCCCCACTTGTAAACCTGTTCAAACAAGTTTGCATTAGCCAAATAATATTCGATAAAACATTTAAAGTCACGGCTGAGATGCATGATTATAGAGATAGTTGCATTAGCTTTGCACAAATGATAGAGATAGTAGCATTAGCTTTACACAAAATATACATCTACCATTGTTGATGTATCCAAAAGGATGAGCAATCATCTAGCTCATTTTCATATAAAAATAATTACACAAACATGGATATAATTAGCTAGTTTCACAAAAATATCCCAAAAGCTAGGCAATCCACAATACCACCACTCTAATCAAGAGGATGACTCTTCATGAACTCAGTCAACACCTTCTTTTGCATAATAGTGGCCTCCCCATAAACAACCTAGCTTGTGATTCATTCTCATGCAATTTTTGATAAAACTTATCAAGAATTTCTATGTCGAATTCATCATCATGTGCAAATATAGCTTTTGCCAACTTCTCCGTCCAATGCATACTCACCATGCGCATAGATGAGGTGAATTGTTTTACCTCACTTACTATCTCACGCATAAGGACCGTGTCCTCACTAGACCTCCCCCATTTCCTTTACGCGTCTTTGACACGTCATTTTTAGCTTTGTTCAAACTAGAAGATGGATTGGATTTTGGCGGCATAGTTGGAACCTTCGGTAGTGGAATATCATCTTCATCTAAAGAGACATAGCTAGGCGTCTTCTCCGTTGGCGTACTAATATCATCATAATCAACACCAATACTAAAATGTGCACTACCACCAAATTGTGACATAACATCTACCGCATAATCTCCTCTAGCAACATCGTCTCCTATAATATTTGCGAGGTCTTCATAATGTTTCATGGGCTTGTTGATGTATTTCCTAAGTTTAGAATTCATACTCTTGTCCTGCATAGTTAAGGCATAGTTAAGGCATATATCAAATACTTATATAGACAACATTGAACAAATTAGAAATATTTTTAGGTGTAATGACTACTAGAAAATAATTCATACCTCTAGCCATCTATCAAAGCAAGCCTCATCCATAGTTACCATCTTTTGTGCATCATCCCAACCGGCACCGCTCAAGTTACGACATTTTTGCATGTCCAAGAATCTATTACGAATAGTTTTCATACGATTTTCCACGTTCTCGGTGGTGAACGTTGAACCTAATTTTTCATTTATATGAAAGGCGACGCTACAATAAGCGGTTTTTTTGAACTTCTTATCCGCCTTCATTCCATCTTTAGCACACTTTGCAAGAAAAGAAATTAGCAAATCATCATGTTTACTCTCCCATAATTGGTTAACTCTCCGCTTGCAAGCCTCTTTTTTTAGATTTATGAGCAATAACTTTCTTTTTCCTCTTTGGATTAGGAGATGAACTTTCATCACCATCGAGGCCAATATCATTTCTCTTGTTGCTTTGTAATTGCTGATTAGGTGACGGAGTTTCACCCATGCTACAACTTTGACGTTGTAAAGTTGGAGGAGCATTTAGCATGCTCATGAATGACATTGGGGGTGGTTGGCTAATTCCCCAAAAGTTAGCATCTTGCATTTGAAAATTATTCCAAAAATTAGAACCTTGACCAACTTGTGAAGAGTGATAAGGCATAAATCCCGGATTGAACCCACAAGGGATTGATGAATTCCTTGGGGTTCTAGGTGATGAATTTGATGTTGTACTCTTGCCTTTGACCTTATCAAGTTCCTCACAATTGAAGTTGTCGGCCATACCTAGAAAATAGTTGTAGAGAAATGTGAAAAATAAACGCAAGTTGAGTAAAGAAAGTGTCCTAAGAAAAAATTCCATACAACACATAATAGTAGCATACTAATGTTTCTAAATTAACACATAATAGTACATGAAAATAGAAAAATCGATACAACACATAATTGTAACATACAAATGTTTCTCAATTAACCTTACATAGTTTTGCATCACACCATCATAAAATAAAGTACATGAAATAGAAAAATGCATAACATAAGATAGTATACCTAATACATTGCATCACATGCCTACTTCATTAGTATTCCCTCCCTTATATTTTCCACAATAATCAACCCACATTGCCCAAGCTATTTCATCTCTACGATCCTTCCATACGATTCTTGATTGTGTTTGCTCCCTTAGAGTTTGGGGTTGAGAGAAATCAACAATATTATTCTCATCTTCCGTAGCAACATCACCTTCATCATCTTCGATCTCAACGGTCTCATTGAATATGTCATCATCCGGGTCCACCATTGCAATATAATTGTGAAGAACTGCACAAGCTAATACGATATCCACTTGTGCGCGGAAAGGGTAATGAGGCTTTGCGGTAAGAATTTTGAAACGATTCTTCAAACAACCAAATGTAGATTCGATCTTAGACCTTAAAGAAGAATGTCTAAGATTGAATAATTCCCTTCTATTTTTAGGTGTTCTTCCTATTTGTTCCTTCAAATGGTAACGAACACCACGATATGGGGAGATGAAACCCGGCATGGTTGTGTATCCCGCATCACACAAGTAATATTTTCCTACAATTTATATGATGTGAAAGTGTTTAGTAGAATTTTTTGTCATTTCATTGAATATCATTTATTAATTGAAGTAATTAAAACAAAATTGAAGAATTGATGAAATTACCATTATATACTTTCAAACCATGAGGTTGTGGCCTAGACAATGCATCTTGATGGACTCTAAAGTCATTTGCAGAACCTTCCCATCCAGCTAATACGTAAGTGAATATCTTGTTTGGGGTACAAGCCGCTAAAACATTTTGTGTAACACCTTTTCGACCACGAAATTGTGGTTGAAGATTAGCAGGTAGCATAGCATCAACATGTGTCCCATCTATCATACCAATACAATCCTAGAGGACAAAAAATTATTATTGAATATTTTTAATTAAATTAGATGAACATGCTTTTAATCACAAATTAAAGAGAGAATACCTTGAAATAAGGATAGTATAGAGGGTTGCTAAGGATCCCCTGTGAAACTTCATTCTGTACTTGTCTTAAAAAGCGTGATCGTATGAGACAAATTGCTTCTAACACTTTGTTGAAATACCTACTCACGGTCTTACCAGATCTAATAAAATGTGACCTAATACTTCGATTTTTAGTTTTATGCCCCAAAATATTCAAAGTCATAGCAAGTTGCTCCTCCACTGTAACATGTCTTGAGTCTCGCAATAAATCATTCCTCCTCATTATCCCTACAAGCTTCACAAAAGCACCACTACACATTCTAACATAGTTGACACAACTATCACTAAATCCATTATATATACGATCCAAGTGTTGTTTTCTATTTTGATATTGAATTGTTTTCTCAACACTAGGACCTGCACGTATAGATCTACGTCTGCTTTGCATTCTCCTCATGAAGGTCATAACCAAAACTAAGACAGATAGTGCAACACCCGAACACATATTAATTACTGTCTCTTCATCGTGATCACCATCCATCTAAAATACAAACATCATATTAAAGCAAATACCAACATTAAATGCAAATGATCAAAATCCATCTAAAATACAAACATCATATTAAAGCAAATACCAACATTAAATGCAAATGATCAAAATCTTTTAGGAAAATTATCATAATTATTTATGAAATGTTTGTTTAATTCTCCTATCTGCAGATGATCAAACTATTTTATCAAAATACAAACGTCGCACTAGAAATATGTAAGATACTCTCATTCCATCAAGGTGAAATCATTCACCTTGATCCTCTTACAATATCGAATTTATCATCTATGCTTGCTTTATTTTGGGAGATATAAGTTGCAAAATTGATTTCTCCAATGCATCATATGAGAACAAGTCAGATAAGATACAAGCTCATACTATTAATAATTTCTATGAGATATAAGTTGCAAGGATTATTCATATCAAATTAAGACTAGTTAGATAAGCTATTAATAATTTCTACAATCAAAATTTTCAAATAATAAATAGATGTCTGCATACCAAAATCTCAAAAAACAACCAAATAAAATTATATAAACTAAAATAGATCCTCCAATACATGACATGCAGACTGGAAAAATACACAGAATAATCACCAGTAAAAATTTTTACCTTCCTAGTGGCAGAAAGCAGAGAACCGTAGTAGATAATCTCCAATATCTACACCTGCCACCCAAACAACTACAGATTTGAAGTCGTTTGTGCAAATCGTAGTGGGAAATGGTGGTCAAAATACCCAAACTCAGACAAATTTTAAACCTGGCGTCAAAGGAAGAAGGAAATCGATAAATAAAAGCCATAATGATGCGGCATAAACATGTACCAAAAAGGTTAAATAAATACAAAAGAATTGATTTTTAGCATTGTACCTCCATAAATCAACCAAGATCTTGTCGTGTTTTCCCTTTTGTTCGAAGGCTAGGGTTTCAATCGGTGTCAGACAACGCAAATGCGATCCAAACAGACCCAAAAGGTGGACGACTCGGGGGTAGGAGGTGTGGTGGTGGAGGGCAAGGGGGAGCAGGGCATCATCGGCGAGGACAGCGATGTCGACGCCGAAGAGGGAGTGGGTGGACGGGAGGCCGCAGCGGGAGAATAGGCTGAGCCCTAGATTGGAAGGCGGGAGGGAAGGAGGAGGTCGAAATTCTTGGTTGATTCGGGCGGGAGGGAGAGAAGGGCGGGAGCGGGAGAGAGGGGCGGGAGCAGGAGAGAGGGGTAACCAGAACGAGAATGGAAGGGGAAGAGCAATCGGCGATTTTTGTACGGGAGAGAGAAAAGAGGAGTTTTTCGCTGTAATCAGTGGTTTTTGAGCGGAAAATGGAAGGGCGAAAAAGCTGTCAGATTGCCCGCTCTTTTCTTCACTTTCTTTTTTCTTTTTTATGAAGCAAACATCCGATTGTGAGGGGAAGTAACAAATTCACCCTGCGTCAGTTTTCCCAAAGGCCATTTTCCTTCATTTTCTGCATTTTTTGGCCGAAACAAACAGGCCCTTAATGTCTTTTCACCGAGCCTTGCTTCGACTTCAACTTGAACTGATCTTTTTTCGGATCCGCGCAGGGAAACGCTGGCTCTGCAAGGGCATGTTTGTTTCGTTTCCCCAAGAATCTAAAACTCACTTTTCTTCACTTTTTTACTTTCCCCTATTTTCTTTAAGGGCTCGTTTGGTTGGGCAATTTTAACATGAAAAGCCACTGTAGATCTGCCAAAAGTGTCCTAAAAGCTGACACTTTTGGCAGGTTTTCAGCAAAATCGCCTCTTAAAGAGGCGATTTTGCTGTAAAGCTGCCAAAAGTGTCAGCTTTTGAGACACTTTTGGCAGATCTACAGTGGCTTTCCAAGTGGCAGCTCTACAGTGGCTTTCCCCCTTCATTTCACCCAACCAAACGGACCTTAACTCACTTTCTTCACTTTCTCCATTTTCCCCCAATAATATTGTGACAACTCATCCCATCACATCTCATTTCTTACTTTTAAAAATAAACTAAACACAAGAAATGAGTCACATCAATCAACTCATCTAAGGGTCTGTTTGTTTGCCTAAAAAAATTAGGAAATCAAAGAAATGGAAAACTATTTCTAAGAAGAATTGTTTTGGGAGTGTTTGGTTTGCTAAAAAAGAAGGAAATCAAAGAAATAGAGATGAAATGAGATGAGTTGTCACCTTATTATAGGATGATGTGAGTGATTTTTTAAGAAAACTTGTTTTAATGTTGTTTGGTTGGCCAAAAAAATAAGGAAATGAATTATAAAAAACTTATTTCTTGTAATAGGTTGTGTTCTTTTGTTTGGTTCATTCTTAAAAATAAGAAAATAGATGAGATGAGATGAGTTGTCATTATATTATTGGATGATGTGACCCACACTTAAGGAAATTGTTTTCCTAACTTTTTGGGAGGAAATGGGTGAAAATAAAATATTAATGAGATGAGATGAGTTGTCATCATCTTATTGCATGATGTGAGTGATTTGAAATAATAAGATAGATGAGTTGAGTGATGTTGTGGATGAAAATAATATTTTATTAGATGTGGTGGATGAGTTGTTGGATAAAAATAATATTTTATTAGATGTTATGAGTGGGTTTTAGGGATGGAAATGGATGAAATTGTACTTTTTGAGTTTTCATGGTTTTCATTTCTATTTCTTGGTTTTTTAGGAAATAACCAAACAGGCTCTAACTCACCTCACCCAACTTTCCTTCATTTTCTACCATCTTTAAAAATTACTCACATCATCCAATAATATGGTGACAACTCATCACATCTCATTAAAATTTCCTTCCATCCTTTTTCCTCCAAAAAAACAAGGAAATTGTTTTTCCTAAGTATAGGTCACATCATCCAATAATATAATGACAGCTCATTTTCTCTCATTTATTTCTTAGTTTTAAGAATGAACCAAACACAAGAAAGAACAAAAAATAAAGAAAGTGGAGGAAAACATCAAAAATTACTCATCTCATCCAATAATATGGTGACAACTCATTTTCTCCCTCACTTTCTTTCCAAATTTTGACGAACCAAACATCAAAAAGAATAATATGGTGACAACTCATTTTCTCCCTCACTTTCTTTCCAAATTTTGACGAACCAAACATCAAAAAGTAGAGAAAAACATCAAAATTCTTTTTCTTTCCCCCACTTTCTGCATTTTTTGCGAAACAAACAGGCCCTAAATGACAGGGTCCTCGTAGCAGACGCCGAGTTGGGGTAAAACAGTGGGGGAGAGAATCCTGCTACGGGAATTGATGGGACCCAGAGCGACGATGGGGTGTGAAACTGTGGGGTCCACGAGAACGAGATTGTTGCTTAGGGGTTGTTTGTTTGGCAATAAGGGGCTGTTTGTTTGCCAAAAAAGAAGAAAATCAAAGAATAAGAAACATATTTCCTTAAAAATTGTTTTGAGGTTGTTTGGTTAGCTAAAAAAAGAAGGAAATCAAAGAATAGGAGATGAGGTGAGATGAGTTGTCATTATATTATTGGATGATGTGGGTGAGTTTTTAAGAAAACTTGTTTTGAGGTTGTTTGATTGGCTAAAAAGAAGGAAATCAAAGAATAGGAAACCTATTTCCTATAATAGGTTCTTCTATTGTGTTTGGTTTATTCTTAAAAATAAGAGATGAGATGAGATGAGATGAGTTGTCATTATATTATTGGATGATGTGACTCACACTTAAGGAAATCAATTTCCTTGTTTTTTTGGAGGAAATGGGTAGAGATGAAATGTTAATGAAATGAGATGAGTTGTCACCATATTATTGGATGATGTGGGTGATTTTTAAAGATGAGATGAGTTGGATGATGTGACACATTTCTTTTGTTTGGTTTATTTTATTGGATGATATGAGATGAGATGTTGGATGATAATATTTTATTGGATGATGTGGATGAGTTGTTGGACGAAAATAATATTTTATTAGATGTTGTGGGAAGTTTTAGGGATGGAAATGGTGAATATTGCACTTTTTGAGATTTCCAAGCTCTAATTTCCTATTCTTGGTTTTTAGGAAACCAACCAAACAACCCCTAAAACGCCAGCAAACAAATAGGTTTCCATGGCTGAGCGGTGTGAGATCTAAGCCAAGTTAGATCTTCTATTCTTTAGTTTGGTTCAACACAACATTTAAAGAAATTTTTTGAATAAATCACATGCCAACTTAGAAAAAAAGAAATGCTCATTTCCGAGCCATAAGTTCGGAATTGGGATGGAAGAGAACTAAAAAATTGATATTTTTGCCAGCTGGACCACAGGAAAAATAATGAGAAACAGCGGGAACAAAACAGGGAACTTTATCCTTGTTATTGTCACTGCATTACCTTATCTCTTTCATTTCCTTCTTTTCTCCGTCTTCAGCCTATCTCCTTCCACCGCCTCTCTCCATAAAAATAATCGAAGGTAATATGATTGAATTTGAGTTTCACTCCTCCGTCGAGCCTACCTGATTTTGAGTACTCTTTTAAAGGCAATCCTCTCTTGCTACTTCACAAAGAAACCCTAGCTTTGTTTGGGTTGATTAATTTACTATCTCATCGGTAGTGCATCTTTAGATTTGGGTGATTTAGTTCGGTGGTCTTCTATTTGGGTTATTTTGAAGGTCGATTTGTTGCTTTGCCTTCTTGATTGTTTAATCTCTCCAAGATCCAACTAATTCGGGGCTAATCCTTCTGGAAAACACCTCTGAACTGCTTTCAAAAACTGCTATAGGTAATCTTCTTGACATGCAAGCAATTATTTGTGTATAGAATTTTTTTTCTCTTCAAATTTTGTGTATAGAATTTTTTGTTTAGAATTTTTTACCTTTTATTTGTGTACTTGATGCTTCCCTATGATTTCATCCAAGATCTTGCCATCATGCGTTTTTTCCAATTGAAGTAATAATTTGAACTTCATTTATTGCGTAAATGAAATGGCTGCATCTTCTTCTTCTTCTTCTTCTTTTGGGTAATTGCACTTAAAATTATATTACTAATCAATTATTCTGCAGTTGCAATTACAATTTCAGCTATTAGCTGCATTTGTAATAGCAAGCTAAACAACACATTGTATACGATTAGTCTTGGTTAGTATATTATTATGTTCATTTTATAGGTTATTGTAAGGTTGATTTGTGAGATGGAGAGTATAGAATAATAGGGGGCAGCCCTCGTGTGGGTAGAGGATCAATGAGTGATAATAAGGCATTCTTTGGACAAATATTATACTTTAATTCCTAGAGGTATATAGTTTTACGAGACAAGGAGCCCATCTCCCAGGGCTTTGGCGTTTTAGTTTTTTGTTTATTACAATATGGTGCCAAAAGCATATATATATATATGGTGATCAGATTGTCCATTCTAAACTATGTTTTGGTCTTTTGACGTTTTCGATATCCCGGTATGAGGTTTCTTTGACTATTACTATTATAGCATTGACTAGATGATGTACCTTTGATTGAACGTGTTTTGGGTCACGGTTATTTTCATAGTTTTATAGAAGTCGTTCCACGGTAACTCCGTGGCTAGTGCATAATATTTCATGTACGGTTACTAAAATTAAACCGACAAACATGGGTTTTATAAAGGAGAATTGGATGGAGAATATAACATATATATAAACGGGCACATGTGCTTTCCTGATATCATGAGTTATATATATACATGGGCCAAAGGGCCAATACTTGACTTGAAGGCATGGCCCTCGGACAGGTTTACGGGGACCCGATTATATATATAAAAAGATTCTTCTCTAATTCAAATAACATGTAAAATAAGATTAATATGCTTGTGTGTCCTATGGTAGGCTTTGTTTGATATTGTAACGCCCCTGGGTTCACACAAGGCTGCAGTCCGAGGTAAAATCAGAAATGTCAAACCTGCCATGCACCACATCGTGTAATAACATGTTTCACCATCATAATTACTATCTCTCTAGTAGAGTCAACAACAGGTGTAGGCACAAAAGTAAGTAAAAGATAATACAAGAGATATATGATAAAATAATAGAGATAAAAATAATATTTCATCATCCAACATACAAAAATATAAAGTGAATATCTGAAATAACTAGTATGGAGATCTCAACAAGTCTCAAATACAGAATATCTGATAAAAGGAAATAAGGCACACAGCCTTTACAACTTCTAGAACATAACTCTCAAATGTCTAAACAAAATATCTACAGTGGAGCTCCATAAATAAAATAAAACTACAAATGAAAGATGGACGCTAATAAGTATCGCCATCAACCTGCGACTCTCCGTACACCTGGCTCGTTACCTGAAGTGGGAGGGGATAACGAGCATCAAAGCGCTAGCGAGCAACATCACAACCAACCCCAAGGGAGAGGGCTCGTTGCATATAGAAAATACAGTTAATACATATACACATAAAATCATTGATCCTAACAATAAGAGGATTTTAGTATTTAAGAAATTACAACACGAGCATAGGTACGTCGAGCGAAATAATCCAAACAAGGAAACCCTCATGTATATACCTTGTATCTCAAATTGTAAATCCCTAAATACCAAACCCAAGATCTAATACAGGAACAATAATATAAAGAAGACTAACCCATCTCAGAACTCAAATATCATGTCATGTCAAAATCACATAAGTGTCATGTCCAACCTATGTAAGTATAAGTGTCATACTCAAGGTTTAAACATGTGTCCAACACATGGACTAAGACTAGGTGTAGTGGATGCCCAACACATGGACTGCATATATAAATTATCCAACACATGGACTGAATGATGAATGTCCAACACATGGACTGAATATGATGAATGTCCAACACATGGACTGCACATAATAATTGTCCAACACATGGACTGAATGTGTAGAATATCGATGAGATATATGAAAAGGATGCATATACACTAATTTCACACGTGTCTCGGTGTGCAAATCTAAACTCATGTCCGCAAGCCATCTCACATATGAAGATACATAATAAACAATAATTTCTAACGCCAAATATTCGAGGCGAATCCTCGTTCATATTAAAGCACACAACAAAAGTAAACATGCACAAACTGTGCCGGCGATCAACCGAAACAGGCAGAAACCCTTCACAGATTTCTGTCTGCTTCGAAACAAATCTAGAAGTAACATCATTATTTTTTAAGCATAATATTAGTGATATCAACATATATGAAACAACATGAAACGAAATATTAGCATGTAAATATATCATCGAAACCCTAAACATTTATATACACATGTTTAAACATTTTAAAAGCAAAAACTTGTGATTTAATTCATGATTAATAAATTTCAGATCTGAAATTTGTCAAGGTTATGATTGTAATCAATTAGAAAATTATGATAATGTATTCTCACATCGTAAGTTATAAAGATCTATCTTTTGTACACTAAAAAATACGTTTTAGGCTCGAAAAATCCGAATAAAACTTAAGATCTATCTTTTGTACACTAAAAAATACGTTTTAGGCTCGAAAAATCCGAATAAAACTTAATAAAACGTGCAAAATAAAAGGGTGTAATCCGAATAAAACTTAATAAAACGTGCAAAATAAAAGGGTGTAGAGTTGGGCGAGATGTTACTCGCCTCAGATGCTGAAAAACTCCTACCATGTGAAAGAGAACCAACCCTCTTCGTTGCACTGCACAAAACCCGTTGAAAAATCCTCCGAAATCCCTCAAAATCGCCAAAGAAAAGAACTAGGGTTTGAGAGAGGGGAAAAGGGGCTGCTAGGGTTTGGAACATAGG